CTCGATTCGACGTATCGAAATGTTAATTAAATTAAATGGTAAGTTAAACAGTAACGAATTCTGCAATTTCATCCGATTGTCCAACTCGACCCATTGGTGTCCTTGATATTTGAATATTAAGAGGAGGAATCTCTCTGTCAGTTCCGAATAAACAACTCCAGGACATATCGCATTAATACGGACACCTTTTTTAGCATAGACCAGCGCTGCACTCTTCTGGTGGCGCCACACATACAGTTTGGCGGCTGTGTAGAAAGAAGGGTTCCCCGAAAATCGTAGTTTCAGATTATATTAAAGACTTACGGCGTGTATTAGAAATTGTTTTTGTAGTTCTGTATTACACTCAATTGTAACGTGTACTTTTACAGCACTACCCGAAAGATTTTATTAGCAACGTGCAGCTGTTTAGTGTGTCAGATAATTAATTTGTTAACTGAACATGAGTCAGCAAAACTCGTACGTTATTCTTATAAGATTCTTATGAATGTTCAGTTTTTTCACATTTTACGAATTACTTTGATTGAAGATGAAGTGAGAAGCTTCAAAAGCGCAAAATTTCATACTACTGTGCTTGTAATCAAATCAATATTGAAGTTTATTAAAACTGGAAAACTAGAACTTTTTATAGGATTTACAGTGACTGGCTCAGTACTTTAGATATGAGCATCGAACTCAGTATGAAAATTTACCTTGGACTTGTAATCCTAAAGTAGTATCATATCATTTTGAGAAACCTGAAAAAATCAAATTTTATGGGGTTTATACTTAGAAGACATTGAATTGGGGCAAATCGTATCTTGTGCGGCCTGAAAGCCCATGTCGAATAGGTGTGAAAAATATATGAAAGCGATTTTGGGAATTCGAGATTATAAAAAGAAACGAGCGTAAAACAGGCAAAAACTCAAAAATATCCACGGGTATCCGCTTCTTCAAAAAGGACCTTTATGCTAGTTCAGGTTTAACACTGCATAAACGTCTGAAAAGCAAAAAGAAGACAAAGGCAAAGAAACAACATGAATGAGTAGCCAGAGAATGACAGGAAACAAGGAAAGGGAGAGCAGGATTTAACACCACTATCAGATTTTAGCATGATCATGGAGAACATCGTAAAGTCGGTTCTCGCACGTTGGATAAGAAGTATATTCATCCGATCCACATCCCCAACCTTTTGTCATATCATAATTCGTATTTAATTCTTGTTCTTTGATTAACCTTGAAGCTAAGTCTGGATTGCTAATATATAAACGCCCAAATACAATTGCATCAGCTTTGCCATCTTGTAATGTTTTCAACCCTTTTGAAGCATTATAGTTCCTATTAACAAAAAATGACGTTCGCGGACCAAGGAGCTTTTTAAATTGATAAATATCGATTTCGATGTCACTAAAATCAGAATCAGGATATTTTCTACAATGTGTCATATGAATGTAAGCCAGATTACGTTCACTTAATTGATTAACTACATAAGTGTAAGTTTCAACTGTATCTTACTCATTCATACCCTTATCGCTGTAGCAACCGTCCGGACTCAGTTTAATTCCAACTTGATCAGCCAAGTTAATCGAA